GATTCTTCCTTCTTAATCTCTGTAATTGTGCTTCTTCATCTCTCTCCTCTCCGCTACTTCCTGTCTCTTCCTTTCCCTTGTTTGGGGGTGGCCCCAACTGTGGCTTCTCTCCTACCCCGCCACCCCCCCTATTTTCCTCACCGGGAGGGGCTGCTGGGCTGTGCTCAGGTTTTCCCAGCCCGATAGCAGCCCTGCTGCTCCGTTCTCCAGCCCCTGCCCCTCCTATCCTGGAAACTAGTCCCCCCGCCACCCGGGGCTCTCCCGCTCTCCTTGGCCACGTCCCGCACCCCAACCAGGAAGGCAGGTCCCCGGAGAATCAGGAGACACCCTTACCCCCTGTGCCTTGGTCCTGCCATAGGCTGCACATGCAAACTCTGCAATCAGTCCAGCCTCCACCAAGGGAAGGTGCAGCACCCCACAGAGCCCAGGTCAGGGCCCGGAAGGTCCTGTTCATCTCTCCCTTGGGGAACTCGGCAGCAGACGCTCTGCTTCCCTCCCATGTCCCAGTGTTTCCCCTGCCCCTGGGCTTTGCAATCACAGCAATTAGGAGTCTCTGGCGGCAGGACATTCCAGCCCCATCTTAGAGTTAAATGAAACCTGACCTCCGACCACAGATTCTCTGCAGGAAATGAACCACTGCTCTTTGAACATCCATTCCTGCCTGGTCTACCCCAAGCACCTCCACACCGGGGATCTCCTTCAGGGGTCCCCAAATCACTACGAAATGGGTGCTATCATTTCCATTTCCTTTTAAGATCTTATTTATTTATTTGAGAGGGAGAGCACGAGCCGTGGTGAGGGGCAGAGGGAGAGGGAGAAGCAGGCTCCCCACTGAGCAGGGAGCCCTAAGCAGGACTTGATCCCAGGACCCCGGGATTATGACCTGAGCCAAAGGCAGACGCTTTGCCGACTGAGCTACCCAGGCGCCCCCCATTTCTTTTCTAAAGGAAGAAGCCGAGGCCTCGGTGAAAAGCTGAAAAGCTGTGACTCGATCTGTCAGCAGGGACCCCCCCCACCCCGTGCCAGCGACACCAACACCCCCAAGTTTTGTGCTGGGGCTCCAGGAGCTGCCGCAAAACAGCACTGTTTTAGTCTATACACCACTCTCTGTGTGAGAATCATCCTCAAAATCACAAGTATTACTATATTAATTTCACATAAATATCAGAAATATTTACGACACGGTAAATATTTGATATAACGTAATAAACCTTATTATCGAATACAACAGTGCTACACTCGAAGGACTACTCTGTGTCTGGCAGTGTTCTGTGCCCTGTGGGCACTGTAAGAAATAGAACGGATCGAAAACCCTCCTCCCTCGGCTTACAGGCATGATGCAATTCTGTCTAGTTTGGAAATACCAGCACATAAAATTTTCCATGAATGAAAATTTAAAAATATCTGATGGGAGTGAAGGGAGGGAGTCACGCAGGAGAAAGGTAAATAAGTTAAGAAAAGCAGATAAGGTTAGATGGAGGTACATGCCAAAGAATAAAGTAGAGAAGGGGAATACAAAATAGTATTTGAAAGGGATGTAATTTTAGAAAGGGTGGCCGAGGAAGGCCTCCCCGAGAAAGGCACATTTCCGTCCAGTTCGGAAGAGACACTAAGTATCTCTTGCTGCATCGGAAATCACCCCAAACTCAGCAGCCTGAATGAACAAGCACTTAGGATGTCACACAGTTGCAGGGGTCAGGAATCCAGGAGGAGCTCAGTGGGGTGGTCCCAGCTCAGGCTCTCCCATGAGGTCACAGTCAGGGTCTTAGCTGGGGCTGCATCTCAATCTGAAGGCTTGAGTGGGGCTGGAGGAGCCATTTCCAAGACACCTCACTCACATGGATGTGGGCAGGAGCCAAAGTTCCTCGCCATGGGGCGGCTCACGCCGTGGCACTGATGTCCCCCCCACCAAAATGTGTGCACCAATAGAACAGGGGGAAGCCACGATGCCTTTTATCAGCCTGCCTTAGGAGTGACTCTCCATCACAAGTGCCAGATCACACAGCCCAGTGCTGACAGAACGTGGGAGGGATCTCTCACGGTGGGGTCCTGGACCAGCAGCACCAGCATCACTAGAAATGCAAGTCCTCGGGAATCAGCCACTCTGGGGGTGCGGCCCTTCGATGTGGGGGCAGCCACTGCAGGGTCTGAAGCAGAGAGGTGGCATGATCCAATGGTGGCCACTGTACCAGGCCCTGCATCCAAGCAGGCTTCCTGGACTCGGCCACCACGCGTCCCCTTGGCATGTCTGGTGCCCTAGATGCGTCATCTGTGAATGCTGCCTCTCCCGTCCACCCTGTCAGTCCTCCAGAGACGGAGACAAGCTTGGGCCCTCTGAGAGCTCCCTCCAGAAGGAGCAGCAGGACTGGGGCGCGTGGCCTGAGTGGGGCAGGGTCCGTCTAGGTGAGGATGCCACCCCCACGCCCACCCCTGAGAGCTGGGACACCGGTGGGATCCAGGGATGTCTCACCCAGGAAGGCTCAGGGAAGAAGGCACCCAGGTGATGAGCCTTGCCCCCTGCCCTCAGCTCTAGAACCAGACCCCTCCGTGTTGGTTTCAGACCCCGTGGGCTGAGAGAGACAATTCCTGAACCGTGAAGTGACACCCAGGACGGACAGTTTGACGGAAGAGATTCTCGCTTGGGAAGCTTTAGGCTGATCCACCTCCCATGGGGGGGTTTCCATTACCACCTCAAGCCCTGTTCACACAGCTCGGATCCCCAGCGGCAAGGACAGAGCAGGGAACCTCTCAGCAAACAGGGACACAGGCTTTTTGCAAACAGCCATCTGCAGGCCGTCAGCAGCAGAACTACGTTCCGTGGGCTCCCCTAGGTCTGTTCTACCAGCAGGAGGGTTACTGAGCCTGGGCGACACCTCTACTTTCAGGCAGCATGGGAAGACTTCACCGTGGTCGCTGGACCCCAGGGTCTGCGTCCTGAGCTCTAGTCAGAACTGCAGGCAGGAGTCAAGCCTGGGGGCGTGGGAGCAGAGGTGGGGAGGTGCTACCTAATAGCCCCCAATTCCCAAGGTCTAAGAGTCACAGGCAGCACACACATAACCCTGACGGCGCCCAGACTGCCCCCCGCCCTGAGCACTGAGAGCCCTCCTGCTCTGAGGAAGGGTGACACCAGGACTCCGCTGTTCTGGAAAGAGAAAAGAACTGGATTGCACCTCTGCCCCAGGTGCTTGAAACACCCCTCAGCCCAGATCTGCTGTTAGGTGCCTAGGAGCTCAGGAATTGGTGTCAGAGACACCGAAATCCCAAGTCCACCCCTTAGAACACATCCCCCAAAGGGAGAGGGAGGGAAGGGCCCCCTCTCTGGCGCTGCAGGAGAAGAGGGTCCTAGAATGCCTTCTTTAGCATTTCTGAGCTGTAGGGGTGTCCCTCAGTTAACCGGGGAAAACATCACTAGTGGTGGTCTACCAGCAGTTCCAAGGATCCTTTCAGCAAGCCTGGGATCCAGGCAGACCACGGGTCCTCACAGCCGGTTCACAGAGGCTGGTGATACCAATGGGTTAAAGAGGTAGCCAAAGGCAGGACCAGCAGTGTCCAGAGGAATTCTAGTGGGGACATGGGGAGTCGAGCGCCTGGAACTCTCTGAGCCTATCCTTCAAGCCCTTTAGGATCCCTGGTGTACCAAGCTCCTTACAGAGTACAGATCCAGGCCAACACACCAGGAATCCCTGAACTTGGGTTGAGGGGTAATGAGCATTGATCGCAACGTAGGAACAGGTGTCTTGTCATGAGCCACCGGCTGGTGGCTGCTCACGGATATTATGACCCCCCCCCCAACTTACAGGGGAGAAAATGTAGGTGGGTCCCAAGAAAGAGATTTTGTCAAAACCAAAGCCTGGACCCTCGGGATCCAGGACCTAAACATAGGAACCTGCCAAAGCTCCGATCTTGTTTCCCAAACTTGGTTACTCATCAGGATCACTGGGACTACTTGGTAAAAATACAGAGTCCCAGAGCTGACTCCTGAAAACTCTGGGGCTGTGTCAAATCAATGCATCCCTGTCTCCCAGATACTGCGTATAGTAAGAAGTTGGTGTTTGATGAATGAATGCTGACTCGGGTCAAAGTACGACCGTGAGAACAGTTTGGTTAGGTTATACGGCCGGCCAAGGGCTGCTTTTTAAAAATGAGTGTGTGTGCGTACATAAAAAGGAAAACAGACTGATGGAAAGACAGACCAGAGAGAAGAGACAGAGTACCGAGTCCCTCCACATAGCATGAATTACAAATTACACAAGCAGTCCAGTCCAAAAGGCAACATATACGGGTGGTTTAAAGAAATACAGTTAGAAATAACCAAGAGGAAAAGAGGTTCATTCTCCCTCAGAGTTGGAGGAACCCAGCCTAAGATGACAAGACACTCTTTTCTTACTCAATGGACATACAACATCAGACTGATAACCCCTCATTATCTGGAAGGATCTGGAAAAACAGGCTGGGGAATGTCTTGGAAAAGGAGCAGGAAATTGTGATCAAAATTCCAAACACACAGACCCTTCGACCTAACAACAGTCTCGCGTGTGCAATGATGTAAGTGTAAAGAGGTGGTTGGGGGCCTCTTTTGTTAGAGGGGGGAAATCTCCAGAGAAACGCTGTAAATGCCCAGGGGGCACACGCTGTGTTGGCAGGATGGCATTCCACTGGGGATCTGGGAGTGCTGATGTGGAGGGCGTGTCCAACACACACTGCTAAGTCATCAGTGTACAAAAGGTTCTCAGATGCATTTTAGAAAGCGCAGAAGTCAAATGGAGGTGCACAGAAAATCACCGGAAGGGTACACAAGCAGCATCTGATGCTGGTTCTTAAAAATCAAAGTGGGGCAGCCGGGTGGCTCAGCGGGTGAAACGTCTGACTCTTGGTTTCAGCTCAGGTCATGATCTCGGGGTCCTGGGATCGAGCCCTGCATCGGGCTCTGCACTCAGTGGGGAGTCTGCTTCGAGACCCTCCCTCTCCCTCTGCCCCTCCCCCAGCTCGAGCTCGCTCACTCTCTCTAAAATAAATAAATAAAAGTCAAACCAAAGTTAAGACGACTGTATTTTTACAGTTTGAATGCTTTACCAAGTACACGATAACTTCCCACGAGAGAGAGACAACACTGTGTCGTGTTGGTGCAGGAATAAACTTAAAGACAGATAGGAAAAGAAAACAAGAAACAGACCCGAGCAGACTAGGTTAGCATAGGGTCAAGCGGGCCTTTTCAGGGCAACAGTGAAAGGCTGAACCAGTGAATAAATGCTGGGAGAACATGAGGCCAACGATCTGAAAAACATTGAAGTCGATCCATTCCTCACCCATTTTCTGAAATTCAGTTTTCTCTGGCTTAAAAAATTGTAAGGGGGGATAAAACAGTCCACGAGAGTACTAGAAGCACATAGTCCCCCCTCTTTTCGCTGGCAAAGGCCTTTCTAAGTGTGACCTCAAAAGGGTGAAATCAAAAAAGCTAAAGACTGACTAGACTATAAAAAATGACCATCAGAATCCCAAAACATCATTTTTTTAAAAAGATTTTATTTATTTGACAGAGAGAGACACAGCAAGAGAGGGAACACAAGCAGGGGGAGTGGCAGAGGGAGAAGCAGCGTTCCCGCCGAGCAGGGAGCTGGACACAGGGCTCGATCCCAGGACCCCGGGATCATGACCCGAACCGAAGGCAGACGCTTAACGACTGAGCCACCCAGGCGCCCCTTAAAACATCATTTTTAAAAAACAGAACTACTTGTTACATCTAATCGAGACCCTTCTCTAAGAAGAGTCCAAACGCCAGAGTTCTTTCTTGCAGACCCACACCTGGAGCGTGCCTACTTGGCCCCTACTGTTTGCACCAGCGAGCGGGGCACAGAGCAGGACTTGGAAGGACATCATCGACCGTCGGAGGCCAGTTTCTGCTAAATGGCTGCTAAAGAAAAAAAGCAAGTCTGCAGAGAAAAAGAGGTATGAACTAAATACAGAGAAACAAGTGGGCCTAAGACATCACGAGGTCCCAGAAACCGGACCAACAGCTCAGCACCCGATGTCTGTCCTTTAGTGGGGGCTTCTATGAGATGCCCTATAACCTTCTAATAAATACCCCTTTTTCCCCCACAAGCTAGTTTGAGTAGGCTTCTGTTTCTGCCCACAGATAACCCCCAAACTGCACTGCCCCATGAACAGCCAACACCAGCCCTGTGGCCCTTAGATCCTGGAATCTTCTTCTGGAATGCTCTCCTGTGACCTGGAATATTCTTCTGGAATATTCTTCTGTGTCCACGCTGAATGGTGGCTTCTTAACATACCCCAAGGAGGACTCCCATAAGCTCTCCATGGAAAAATCACACCACTCAACTGTCCAGAAGCTTCTCTTCCCACTACGTGGTACCTTCCACTCACACACCACTTTTGGGATCTGTTTCTGAGAAACTCGGCATTTGCGAACCTCAACTGCACTGCATCGCTAATCCCGATTTAGAAGACTTTCCAGTAAAAGGTGTGACTGTACGTTTATAAATAATGCTTGAAATCGTGGAGAGTGTTGCTTTTCACAAGACAGAGGAAACCGTCAGAAAGAGCCATGGTTATTTTGGGGAGTAGAAATAAGCCATGCTTTTTGTGAGGTGCGGCCGCCCAAGGCACCTTCCAAGCCTCGCTGGATTCCCGAGGAAGACCATCCGGCCCCCCACCAAGCACAAAGGGCCCCCTCTGTGGGGGAGGTCCTTATCAGGAACCAACCCTACAAAACACGGACGGAAATTCTCGACAAAACAAGCTCTTCTCCAACATCAAGAAAGGGCATACAGGACAGAGAGGAGCGCATGAAATGGGGGAAGACATGGGTAGCATTTTAGAGTTGACGAAATAAGATTCTCTGAGAACCAGCACGAGCAGGGTGGGGAAAAAAACCTCTCCACCAAGAGGCCTGCCAGTCTTTTCCACTAAGGAAAATTCTAGAATGCTACCAACAGGGCCAGCCTTCAAGGTGGGCTGAAAGTACAGTAGTGTTTCTCCATCACCTGGAGGGCTGGTGAAAGCACAGTCCACAGGACCCCACTCCCAGAGTTTCTGAATCAGGAGGTCCGGGGTGGGGCCTGAGAAACTGCATTTCTAGTAAGTCCCCAGGTGGTACTGATGCTGCTGGGCAGGAACCCCACTGTGAGAAGCACAAGCCTGGGGGCAGCTGAGGAAGGGCAGAAGTCTCTCTGCAATAGCACTTCTGTCTCCAGGTGTTGGAGGGAAGGCCATTAAAAAAAAAAAAAAAGTAAAAATAAAAACAAAAATAAATTTCTTTTTAACCAACTGAGCCACCCAGGCGCCCAATAAATTTCTTTTTAAAGATGCAACCATCAAAACAACCCCTACTGTGCACGGTGCTTCCCCCCAAACAGATGGCACTGTTAAAAACTGCAGCGAATCGTCAATGTGGCCCAAGAGATCCAGAAAAAGAAAAGTGACCCCAGCAGGGCCAATGCTCCGAGAGCAAAGGAGAAATCCACCAGGACCAGGAGGACCACCCGTATTCAGGCCTCCTCTCTGCTTCTAAAGTCCACCAGCCAAGAAGATTTTGCATTTGCACACCTGGTCACGGGAGCTGAAGTTCAAGGGCAGGTACTCTTTATAGGGCGGGGACCTGGTGTCCAAAGCACTGTGTGCTCGCTGGCCCGTTCTCTTCTGCTTCCCAAGCTCTGCCCCTGCTGTCTGCTGGGCACCCGTTCCTGTATTCACCCTCCCCCCCATTAACACGTATCGTGTTTCTATACCAGCAGCACAAAGCAACGGAAACTCTTTATCTGGGGAGAGGGAGGATGGGGCGGCGAAGCGGAGGGAGGAGTCCCTCCTTGACTCCCAGCCTGGCACCCTCCTCCCTTTGAGGCAGAGAGCACACGGCCCAGCACCCCTGGGTGCAGCCCCCGTCCCCTTCTGCATCTCAGAGGGATTATTTTTATCCTATTCGTAAGAATAGTACAGGTCCCGGGAAGAGAGGCCGGAAAACGTGGAAACGTCAAAAGAGAAAACAAAAGTCCTCCCTGATCCATCACTGGGAAAGAACCACCGTGGACCGACACCTCCCCCAAGGTGTGCCAGGGGAGCAAGGGGGCACCCCAACCAGCAGGGATCAGGGACAGAAGGGGGGTGGTGGCAGGGAGCGGGGGCCCCCTGCCTGGCGAACGGGGTCTGTCCCTCGGTGGGGGGGGAAACACAGAGCTTGAGAGGGCTTTCAAAACCAGCCTAACCCGCTCTTGTAGAGATGGGGAACCCAGACTCGAGGATGCTGGGGATGCTCCAAGGACGACCGAACCAGGAAGGGGCAGAGCTGTGGCCGTGACCGCCAGCCCGGTCCTCTCTGGTACACTCGAGCACAGTGACGAGAAGAATCTACAGTATCTGGAAATCAACTGCTTTACGTGTCTCTTTCCTGCAGCTTACATAAAAGCTTTTCTGCCCTTCCTTCTCTTGGAGCTACTAGAATTCTGGGACCCAGGGAGCTATTTTAAGCCGGAGCCCACGTCCTGTGTTCACCAACAGGCTGGCGAGGCAACAGGAAAAGCAGGCTACCTTTCTGCGGCTGGTGCAACTTTACCCTCAGGCCAGGCAGGTGTCAGAAACGGAGGGGACAGATGGCACCTCTCCAGGGCCTCGCGGAGGACACGACACCACCTGGTGGCCCGTTACGCCGGGGGCCTGGGAAATGTGTTGGTTTTCTGGGGCTGCCCCAACAAAAAACACGACCAGCTAGGGGCTTAAAGAACAGAATTGTGTGGTGTCCCAGTTCTGGCGGGGGCCAGAAGTCCGAGATCCAGGGTGGGTTCCTTCTGAGGGCCGTGAGGGAGAGTCTGTTCCACAGTCCGTCCCCTCGGTCACCCTGGGCTCACAGACGGCGTCCTCCTTGGGTCTTCACATCACCTTCCCTTTGCGTGTTCGTCTCTGGGTCCAAAAAATCGACTCCTGCTCCGACCTCCCCAACCCAAGTGCCCCCAGTCACCAGACACCCCTACGCTAGGTCCCCGCAAACCCCTAAAGGGTTAATGCCTGGGGGTGGTGGTGGTTCTAGACCGCAAGATCATTTCCACTCTCCCCCACTATTGGCGCTAGGGCTTCTCAGGCTGATGGTATCCCTGGGCATGCAGACAGGAATTAGCTACAGCTGCCAAGACAGCAGGAGATTCATCCAAGAGCAATGAGATTGGGTGCCACATGCAAGGACAAGATCCTCCCAGTGCGGGGTCTCAGTGCCCCCGTGCACAGCCCAGCACGCTGCTCCCAGGGAGCGGCATGCAGTAAACACATGTGTCTTGCATGACTAACTTCTCACCCTGTTCTCCCACGCCTCTTGGATGAGCACTGCCTACTTTGGAATCCGGCTCGGACTGAAATAACAAAAAAAGCTGTTAGCCCACTCCAAGATCTCCCTCCGATAATACAGATCTGATCACCAGGAAACCACGCCAGTTTTACATACGGAGGCGCGTTCCCAAACAGTGGTGGGCGATGAGCATTTGGTGCTGTGACTCCTGGTTTCATAGTATCTTAGAGCTGGAAGGGACCTTTGGAGAGGTCTATTCGAGCAGGAAAAGAAAACTGACTCCAACCCACAAGGAAAGTCCCCTTTAACAATCTCCTCTCCATTTCAGGAAGCATTCGGTCTTTGCAAACATGTAGCCATTTGCATTGTGTTCGCCCACACCGCCCCTGCCAGAAGCCATCCCAGTGGATAATTAGAGCTGAGCACAGAGAAGGCATTTAGCAAACACTTGTTGCTTGATAATCAATTCACGCCATCCTGGCCCACTCACTGATCAGAATGCATCCTGCAGATACTTTACATTTTTGTAGAGTTCCACCCGCGGACCGAATGGGCCCTCACCCTTTAAACAGCTACCTGTTTGCCCCTGTCCAGACCCCACCTTGCTGCTGCAGCCACGGGCTCCCATGGCCGACGACACACACACCGGCCTTACAGCAGCCCCAGAAAGGCAATGCTTCCTGCCTCGATAGTCAGGTGCACAGAAAACCTCCAGGAATAAGGCAGAGCATGAGATGGGCTGGTAGGTCCTCCCTGAAACAGATGCTCCATCACTGTATACCAGCCAGGCATTTCTCCTTGGATTTCTGATTCTCTTCCCCGGTCCCCTTTCTTAATCTCTGATTCCCAAGAGCATTTTCATAACCCATGTTCCCAATTCGGTGCCTCATGCCATCTCTCTTCAGCAGTACTTGGGTGCAAAACCACGAGGCTGTCTGAACCCAGGTCAAAATTCCCAAAAACCCACAGGAACCGGGCGTGTAAAATGCACACGTGAAGCTAACGGGGTATACGAAAAGTGAGGGGCAATGGCAACCTTCTCAGTATCACATCCGGTTGTGTTCAGGCAGGGAGGTGGGTCCGACGTGGCCACACCTCATGATTCTCCAAGAGAAGACAAGTCACTGGATGCTCATGGAAGGCTTTCTGATTTCCGGCCAGCAGGTGACCTCCACTATGCCTGCATCTCTTCAGGACAGCTCAGCAGGATCTGGAAGGTTCTGACCCTGCCCTGACCAGCACACACAGAGGCACGATAATGCCGCTCCAAATTCAGTCATCGCGGATCCTCCAAATTCAGTCATCATGGATCAGCACTGTATTTTTTTTTAATTCTTTTAAAATTTTTATTGTTATGTTAATCACCATACATTACAACG